GGAGCTATCCCTGCTGCTCCTGCACCTGCCCCTTGACCTTGGTCAGATGCTGGCCGGCCCCTAGTCATTCTGAGACAAGGACAACCATCACTGACGCTGGAGGGAGGGTTTGCAGTGAGGCAGCCCTCAGCTGCTCTCAGCCGAGATGGGGAGGATGAGACACACCACTCCAGGGGCTAAATAAAATCAACACATGAAGAACATGGCTGGTGGCCAGGCCCAGACACCCAAGCAGGCAGCAGAGGTCAACCCCATCCCACAGTGGGCTCCTCTTGAGGACTCCTCACAAGGCCTGGGGTGTGGCAGAGGGACACAGCCACATCCAGGGTGGCTGGGTGGCTGGGCAGGGCCAGCTGAGAGTCAGGGCACCCAGACTGACCCTGGTCTGGCCTCTGTTCCCCAGCAGCCTGGGGCTGGCGCAGGCAGCATAGGGAGGGACATAGAGCTGCCCAGCAGTAACATTGTTTCTAAGTCATAGTATTGGCACAAGGGGCCCAGGCAGGGCCAGGCCCTGAGGTTCAGTCAGCCTGGGAGAAGGCCAGCCACAGATGGGCACTATTTTATACAGCAGTGGTCTGGTTTTCTTGGGTTTACATTTTCATGGCAGGTAGAAATGCAGCCAGAATGGTTTAAAAAATAATACTAATAATAATAATAACAGCTGGACAAAAATGTTCCACAACTTTTGAGAGTAGCAATAATTTACTGAAGAAGGCCAGAGAGCTTACCTGTTAGAACATGAGATATTTGTGAGGCAGGGTAGTTTAGTGGCTAAAAGTCTGGACTCAGGTTTGCAACATGGCTCTGTTGCATTCCAGCTGTGTAACCTCGTGCAAATCATCTAGTGTCTCTGTGCTTCAGTTTTCCTCATCTGTAAATTAGAATCCTAAGAGAACCTACCTTACAGAGTTATTTGTGAGGATAAAATTAATTCCCACAGAGCACTTAGAACAGCATACTCAGCACATGGGAAGTGTAGGTGTTGGCTATTACTTACTCTATGCCAGATGGGACTGAGTCATTGGCAGGCATTATATCTTTTAATCTTCATAATGATCCTGCGAAGTATTACTATTGGCCATAAACTACAGATGAGAACATTGTAGGTATAGGGAAGCTAAGTAATTTATTCATGACTATCTTTATAGGTTAATAAGACACAGGTTTGCCAGAACAGAACCCAGGTCTGCCTTGAAAGCACATTCTATTTACCAACAGACTAATAAATCAAAGCAGTGGAAAGATTTCAGATGGGGATTTATTTTCCCAATTGTGTTGGTTTATCTAACCCACAACCAAACACAGCAAAACTGATGAACAAGGTAGAGAAAGAGAGGGCTCAGGAGTGAGAAGTCACAAGATCATGACAGCAATGATATCATGTATATGAAAAGTTTACTAAAACTAACATTTGCTGTAATAAATGGAAAGTGATTCCATGCAGAGAAAATATTTTCAGACGGGCCTCTCCTTATAAATTTCCAATTTTGAGTGACTCAGATGGCTGAACAGCTGATGCTATTAGTCTTCAGCTCCTACTGATATAATATTAGTTGTAGGAGGCAACCCTAGCCAGTTGCTATACAGATGCTAGCTGCTAGGCACACACACACACACACACACACACACACACACACACACACAGGCAAGCACAGGATAAACTGTGCTATAAGCCTGAGCGACAGAGGAAAACTCTCTTAAAAAAGAGAAGGAGGCCAGGCACAGGCACGGTGGCTCACGCCTGTAATCCCAGCACTTTGGGAAGCTGAGGAGGGCGGGTCAAGAGATCGAGACCATCCTGGCCAACATGGTGAAATCCCATCTCTACTAAAAAATACAAAAAAAAAAAAAAGCCAGGCATAGTCGCACACACCTGTGGTCCCAGCTACTCAGGAGGCTGAGGCAGAAGAATCATTTGAACCCAGGAGGTGGTGATTGCAGTGAGCCGAGATTGCGCCACTACTCTACAGCCTGGTGACAGAGCAAGGCTCTATCTCAAAAAGAAAAAAGAGAGAGAGAAATACAAGATGCTGGCCAGCCAGTGAGTACACCTGTGATCTTGTTTAGTTAACACCTCCAAACAACAGTGCTAAACCCCTACATTGGCAGGAAGCTTTGTATTTCTCAAAAAATCCCTTCCCAAAATATTTCTGGAAATCTTAACCTGTTTGTCCCCTCAGCCCCTCCAGCTGTGGGACCTTTGTAAGTGCCTTTCCCTTCCTTTTTGGAGTCCTGGGGATTTTGCTTATCATCTGTGCCCTGGCTGCAGCTCTGCAAGCTGCTTCTGCTCTGGTGGCTCTTGCTCTCAAGGGTGCTCTACTTCTTTGTCTACTCTGTCACTGTCCTCCAGACTTTAGCCTCCTCTGTGTCATGGAGTTGGCTGAGCTTCTCCACGTCATTCACCTCTTCACACCTCTGCAACCCCCTTCCTTTGTTTATGCCTAGTTCTTTCATGGAGGGTCATTCTCCTGACCCCAAAACTTTCTATTCTGCTAAGTTCAGTTCAATCAGTATATACTGATACCTCCTCTGAGCCAGGTGCTTGGTTCTGGGAATGCAGTGATGAATAAACAAGTCTCCATGGCCTTAAGAAATTATATTCTAATGGGGGAGAAAACTCCATAAACAAATGGTTTCAAAATAATGTGGTGATAATATACAAAGATGAGCCCAGGTCAAATGAGAACACAACCCATCCTGGTAGTTCAGGATGGCTTCAAGGAGGAATTTATGTCTCACAGACAGATGTGTTAAGAGCTTTTAACCACATTAAAAAAAGAGGAAGAAAGGTCAGGGAGAAAAGACGATGAGCCTAGGCAAGATGGGTACTTACAGGAAAAAGACATGCAGTTTAACGGTGTGTAGGCCCTTCAAGTATAAAGCAGAGTGAGTGTCAATAAAAGAAGGGATAAATAGAAAGATATTATGGAAGGCTCTGCTTTGCCATTTCAAGAAACTTATTTAATTCTGTAGTGCATGATTTCTCAAGCAAAAAAAAAAAAGTACATTTGCATACACATACAAATATACAGACACGCATAAAGTTGCCCATGATTTCAGCCATCCCACCTACATACACCGCTGGAAGTAAATCCACATGCTGAAGATGAAGATAGGGTAAGCTGGGATGAAGGAGAATCCCTTAAAGTATTTTAAGCAGCGAATTTCATGATCACATGTTAGTTTAAATACATTACTATCAAGTTTCATGACCGGCAAGTCTGGAGTCAGGGAGTACAATACAAAGATGTTCTGTATCTAGGCAAGAGATGACGAGGTTATGAATTTGAGCATTAGTGACAAAGCTTGAGAAGAAGCTATGACAGCAGCATGTCTTGTGAGTCATGAGGAAGAAGAAGAGTCAGAGGTGACTTCAAATTTCCAACTGGGACAGAAGCTTGGTTGGGAGAAACAGTAATGAGTTTATTTTTGGACATTTGAATTTGAAATGTCTTCAGGACAAGACAGCTTGGTGATAAACAGGCAATTGGATATAAATTAGCAGGTATACTAGTCTGAAGTCCCAAGTTAGTCTGAAGTCAAAGTTAGTAATACAGGTTTGGGGGTGGGGGAGTCATATGAATATCTGCCAACTTGATTTTCATTGTGCTAAAGTATCATATGACTACAGTTGATAAAAATGTGTTGTATCCTTGAAAACAGATGAGAATAGATTTTAGGTTTCCTCAGTATATGAGGTAATGCTTATGCTAATTAGCTCAATTTAGCCATTCCATAATGTATACATATTTCAAAATATCATGTTTTCCATGACAAATAAATATATATATATTTTTTTAAATACCAAAGATTCTGAATTCACTATCACAATAATCCATTAGACAGGGAGAAAGGATTGTAGGATCATGATGACATGGACAAGCTGAGTTAGATCCCCAAACCGGGTCTATTCCCTTCTCACGGAGGAAGTCCTTTACTCACTTTCTCACTTTCGCCTGACATTTCCAGTCCTACACAAGCCCATGTTAAAATCTGATGGGATGGAAAGAAGAGCCAAAAAATTCAATCCCAGATCCTAGTTGCTATTTTCATAGGAAAAAAAAATCCTTTATATTTAGTTTTATGAAACAAAGAATAATAGCATTTTATTGTGCCACCATCTTAGTACAGTTAATATATTCTCAGTGATTTCTAAGCTACCGTACCCGGAGATGAAATTTATTGTGAGATCCTTCCAAGTGGTCTCCCCTACAATTCATTCTTCATAGAGCAGCCAGAATAATTATGTAAATATGAATCAGAGCATGACACTCTCCTGTTTAAACCCATCCAATGGATTCCCATAACTATTCAAATAAAGCCCAAACTTCCTACTCTGTAGTGCCCCATCTTTATTGCACCTCTTCCAGGCTCCTCCAGGACCTCCCTGACCTTCCCTTGTTCCCTTTTCAAGACAAGCTCTTTCCTGACCCAAAAATATCCTGTTTTCCTTTTCCTAGAACTCTCTGCCCTCAATATTTCATATAGCAGGCTCTGTCTCATCTTTCATGTGAGTTCAAAACTTCATTCCTTACAGAGGCCTTCCCTGACCACCATTTCTAACCCTTAATGACCTACTCCACTTTCTATCATGTTACTGTTTTATTATTGTCCACATAATGCTTATCACGATCTGAAATCATAATTTTTGTCTTGTAAACTTGTTTATTGTATATTGGAGCCATAAAGACAGTTACTTCATTTGAATTTTTCCACATAAGAAAGGTACTAAATATTTGTAAAATGAATAGACTAGTTAATTGAACATCCCAATTCCATAAAATTAGTATGTAAACAGTTAGTAAAAAAAAGAAAGCACTCTGAACAAAGATGCCAGGCTCTGTAGTTGGCGCTAGCAATGGAACTGTGTCTTTTCGTAGTTCCCACTCTGGTGAAGACACTAGGCAATTGATTGTGAGGCCCTAACTGGAAGGCAAATAAAGGGTCCCGTGGGATCACAAAAGAAAGGATCCCTTAAAGAGTCGTTAAAATCTGAAGGATGAGTGAGTGAAGGGAAAATGAGGGCTGAAGGGGGCTGAAGGAATGTGGCAAACGCCTAGGTAGAAGGAACAGTAAGTGCGGAAGGAAGTGTGCGGGGATGAGAATGTGAGAAATGTTAAGCAGTTCCCTGTTCCTGGAGCACTTTCCCAGGGTGACTGTAGGATTCGATGACATAGCATACACACTACTGTCAATGGTAACTCGTCATATAAGTTACCGTTGTGAATAAACGCAGACCTGTAACTACCAGTCACTTATTATATATTCTGATATTCAAAGAAAAAGGAAGGATAATTTTGAAGAGGTACTTCCTCTGATGGCTTCTGTGACTTACACGCCGGGTCCTGCGACCTCACACCATCCTCTACATTACTTGGTGTCGCCTTGACCACGAATCTCATTGGTCTTTCCAAGTGGAAACTGTTATGGGATTGCTGTGGAGATAGCCAGAGGCCCGCCCCCTGTCGCTGATTGGGTGAGGAGCGGCCAAATCAGAAAACCTGCCTCCGTCTCCCGGCGGCCCCGCGGGGGCCTGTTGCTCGGCAACTGATTTGCTTCCTCCGCTGCGCTGCTGCCGGGTTGCACCTGTGAAGTGGAGACAACGTGCTAGGACCTTGGTGGGCGTACACCTCTCACTCCCACTCAGGCGCCGACGACACGGCGTTGTCTGTTGCTCTTGCAAGTTCGTCTTGAGACTGGGCTGTGAGCTGGCACTGCAGTGAAACGCCACAGACGAGGAAGCGCCCAAGTTTTCCTTCGGGAAGTTCTCGTTTAGAGGAGTCAGGAGAAAAACTCATTGTTATATCCCAAATTTAGAAGCCACTTATCTTGGGAGGCTTCCGAGGTTCTAGAAAGCAAAGTAACTTATATCAGTTTACTAAATGTGGGAAGGTGACCCATAACTTTAAACATCTGCCCCAGGGTAAATGTGAGGCATTTGGGGACGGGTACCAGACCCTCCGCTGCCTATCATGCGCGGCAGCGCTTACCGCTTGCTGCAAAGAGACTTCCATGAGCTCAGGGAGAACAATTATAAGGTAAGTTCTAGGCACGTGGAGGAATGTGTTTCATTGTGCAATAATTTTTAAGAGGCAGTTTAACCCATGTTTATTCTATAAGTTGTAATTTAGTTAAACCTGATTTGCACTACAGTATTATTTAATAAATATCTCACTAATGTATTCATAATAATTATTATTCAAAATAATAATGCCTAACAATATTGAGCATATTGTGCAGAGTAATTTATGTGGATCTAGGCGCTGAATATCAAGGTCTGTTATGTAGTTAATGACTAGCAGGTGCAGGCTTATGCTCATTAATCATAATGCTATAAAATAAGTAGTATTTCATTTACCTACAAAAAACCTGAGGCTCAAAAACATTCTGTAAAGATTTGGCCCATGATTCCATTACAGGGTTTTCTGATTTCACAGCTCTAATTCTTAATTCTTGTGTTCCACTACTTACTGTCCAGTGCACTTTTACCAGCATAACACATAAATGCCTTCCTTCTATAGTTTTAACACAAAGGAAGGCATAGCCTTGGCCTTAAATGCCACCAATGAGGTTATCAATGTCCGTGGGTGCCACAGGCTGATTTATGGAAAATGAAAAATGGAAGAGGGGGCAAAGAGGGAGTGCTTAAGGGAAAGAATAGAAAGAAAGCTGTCCATAGAAGGAAGGTATAGAGTCCTTCCCACAGTTGCTTCAGGTGTAGTTCAGTGGATTGTTCAGTTTTTACCTCTGCTATAAAAGTACTGCCTTCACTGGAGATGTTAGGAACAGTTATGGAGTCCAACAGCAAACATTCCAGAGGCATGGATGTAACATTTGTTACTGTTTCTGCTCATCCTGAGCTTTGTAGTTCTCTGTTGAAAGAGAATCCAATGAAGTAATATGTAAATATAGATAATAGAGATGCAGTGCTGACCCAGACAAGCACTAACATACTTAAAAACTATGTGGGTGCTCAGAAGTATTTTTGTCAGTTTATGTAAGTGTATTACTTAGCACAATTCATAAGGTTTTCTATGAAATACATTCTTGTCCCTCCATTGGAGCAATACCTCAAGTTAGGAAAACTTTGCTTTTATATACAAGTGTAATTTTGGATTTTTTTCTTAATGAAAATGTTTCCACTTCATGTCATTCATGTAGAATTCATATAGCTATAAAATGTTTTGAAGAAACATGCACTTAACAACTATTTCTTTCTTTTAAAATTGGAATCTTAAATTGGTTATTGACTTACACAGAGAGTATATAAGCCACACATCCTAATCTTGACTTTCTAGTCCCACTTGTGATTTCCACACTTATGATTTATTTTTATTTACTAATGCATATGTTTTCTGGAATCTATATTAACTTCTGTGTCATAAGACACATAACACCTCCCCAGCAAATAAATTTATCCAAAAAAGAAAATTTAGAGTATTTAGAATTCAGTGTCAGCTAGTATATGCTTTTTAAAACTTCAATAAATACTTAATAAGTTGTATGTGATTTAATTTTGTTTTTAACTTAAAGGGTATCACTGGTAAGCCTGTAAGTGAAGATATGATGGAATGGGAAGCTGAAATTGAAGGTCTACAGAATTCAGTTTGTCAGGGTTTGTATTTTCAAAACCAATCTATGTTTTAAAAAGTCTTTATGCCATTATTGGCCCATCCTCTTTTTGTGTAGGATAAGGTTACATTATATAAATTTCCTGAAATTCTTCTTTATGTGTAAAATAAGTTTGTATTATACCAATTATCTAAAATTCTAAAAGCGTTTCCATTATTTTTTCATTATATGGATAATTTTTTTGCCATGTGTCAACATAGATGGAAATTTGGGATATTTTTCTTTATGCTAGATCTTAATGTTATTACATTTTTAAGATGCAGACACAATAAAGCATATCAATTGGGAATATCTTCTTTCTTCCATGAGATCAGGGAATAACTATCAAAATTCCTATTGGCTTCAAAATCCCACAGTTACTTCTCATTTTTTCCTTTATGATTTTCCCTCAAATTTTTATGAATCAAAAAAATCTCAAGAAGACTGAGCCACTATAAACTGTAATGATCATGTTTTCTTTCAATCGTGGATTAGTAAGAGATTCCTTGAGTGAGGTAGGGGAGACAAACATATCAGCAGATAATTACAATAAAATATACATTATTATGGATTTTGAACAGAATGCTAAAGAGGAAGAGGATTAGTTAATTATGTCTGAGGGAGTCAGGAATGTCTTCCCAAGGAGATCACATTTGAGTTGGGTCCTGAAGAATGTGTAAGAGTCTGCCAGGTTCAGAATGAGGAAAAGGAAATTCAGGCAGAGTAAACGGCACAGCAGAGACTTGGAGACAAGAAAGGTTGTAGCAGATTCTGGGAACATGAGTTCTGTCAATATGAAATACAGTGGAGGGGCTGGGTATTAGGGGGACAAAGGTAGCAGATGGAAAGGACTAGTGGGAAAGAGACTGAAAGCATGTGGTAATAATAGGTTGTGAAGTGTCTGTTATCCTATCCAGAGGAGTCTGTATAGTCAATGAATCAATTTACTTAAAAATAAAACTGTGGAAACTCTAAACCACAGGGAGAAACTCCAGTGTTAATCAGGTTACAGTTAATCAATACAACATGATACTTTAGTAAAAATGTTTATTTCTATCTCATAGATTTAGTCTTCCAACTGACAATACATTTTACATCGGAGTACAACTATATTCCTCCAGTTGTGAAATTTATAACAATTCCTTTTCATCCAAATGGTAAGAACTAAATGAGATTTTTATCATCAGAAGCTTTGTTCCTATTATCCTTGTTTCTTATAATAATCATGTTTCTTTTTAAGAGCTTTATTATGATTATAAAAGTAAGAACTCTCACTGGGGAAAATATGAAAAGGCTGGAAAAAATTAATAATCACCTTAAATCCTAATGCAAAGAGAAAATACTGTCAACATTTTGCCAAATTTATTTTCTTTTTTTCTATGTATGAATTTTTTTTCTATGTAGTTGAGGTATTACATATAAGGTTTTGCCTCTAGGTTTTTAATTTTATTTATTTTATGTGTTGTTTTTTTTTTTTTATTTTGAGACGGGTTTACTGTGTTGCCCAGGCTGGAGTGCAGTGGTGTGATCTTGGCTCACTGTAACCTCCACCTCACTGGTTCAGTTGATTCTCCTGCCTCAGCCTCCCAAGTAGCTGGGACTATAGACATGCACCACCACACTTAACTAGTTTTTGTATTTTTAGTAGAGATGAGGTTTCACCATGTTGGCCAGGCTGGTCTTGAACTCCTGACCATCCACCCACCTTGGCCCCCCAAAGTGCTGGGACTACAGGTGTGAGCCACCACCCCTGGCCTAGGTTTTTAATTTTAAAACTGAATGTCTTTTTTCTGCATTGTTAAACATTTTCAAAAGATCATCTTAAATCATTCAACAATACACTTAACCATTTCTCTATTGTTCAATATTTTAGTTGGATCTAATTTTTCATTATTATAAAAAAAGATATTTTTAAATAAATATCATTTCCATAAAGTAGAGGGAATGTTAGTTTCTAGGAGGGAAGGTATGGGAAAACTTGTGACTGCTCTTTTTCCCCCATCACTCCTCCCCAGGGAAGTCACTTAGCTGATTAGGGAGATGAAGGAAAGAATTAAGCATTTGTGGCCCAGAATTTTCTCAACACTCTCTCTTTCTAACTATCCTGGGTACGTTTCTTTTTCTGCAGGCAGGAAATTTAGGCAGGCCTTCAGTTTGGGAGTTAAGTTCAAATCAGGGGGACTTTTGTGGAGCCTGATTGAAGCAATTCATCAAGTGCATTCTCCATTTCAGTGTTACGTACAATGAAGCTGATGTTTTTACTTCTGTCTTTCAATACTTGATCTATTTTATAATTACATATGAACTTAAGGGGTTAAAAGGATTATTTCCTAGCTTTCAAACCCCCCGAGGATGGCTATGTACAGTGTTAAGTCTTTAGATATAAAAAGCCAAATTGCCTTTTGGTGGTATTTATACTCCTACCAAAAAGTATATATAAAGTTCTCATTTTAGTGCCTTCCAATTCTGGCCATTGAAACTTTGAAGACTTTTTTTTTGCCAATGTGGTAAGAGCCTTGCTATTATTTTAATGAGCACTTCTTTGAATACTTGAGAAGTAAACGTTTTTTCACATTTGTTGATTCTTATTTTGTGACTTGTATGTTATAACTGACAATGTTATCACATTTTCCTAGATGCTGCAAATATTTCCTCTAATTTGTCATTAATTTTCAATTTTGTTTATGCCATTTTTTCACATCTGGGATCTAGAGATTTTTATGATTTAAAATAAATTTATATTTAAGATCTATTAGTCTTGTCCTTTGGGGTTTTTGCAATTGTCTTTCATCTTAGATGATCCATTCGCAAAACAAAATCAAATAGTCATTTTAAGTTTCTTCTAGTCCATTGTATAGTTGTATTTGTCTTATTTAACTCTATTCTTTTATTTCTCCAAACACTAAATTAATTGTGTTAGGGCATAGGCCAAGCTTCTGTACATCTTTCCAACTTAACATAACAGGCCAAAGCTGGAGGTTAAGTTTTGCCCATCCTCAAGGTGGAGAATTCCATTTCTGGGACTAAAGCATTTACTCTGTCAACATTTCCAGTCAGTGGGAAGGGGGAAAAAGAGAAGGAAAACCAGATTCCTTTAAAAAACAATTCAGAAATTGCACACTTATATTCCATAACTAAAACTTAGTCACAGGGCCACATCTTGCTAGAGGAGAGAGTAGGAAAAACAGTAGGGGCACCTATATATTCAGCCAAAACAACACGGTAATGGATGGGAACCAGGGTTGGATATAGTGCTTATTACAGAGAGAAGAACTAGGAAAAAGGAAGAGTAAATGCAAATCATTTTTCTGGCTTATCATTTTGATGTTTGTAAGTTTTAAATGATAATTTATTATATATGCCAATATTAATGTATTATTTTAATACAGTTGACCCACATACTGGTCAGCCCTGTATAACTTTTTTGGACGACCTTACGATGTGGAATACAAACTACACATTGAGCAGTATCTTACTTGCCCTACAGGTAAGAATAGATTGCGTATAATCTTTTTAATGCTTTTAGTTACCTAACTGTTCAAACTACACGAATTAAAATATACAGTGCATATTTAAGTATTTAAAGAATTTGAGAAGCTTATTTAAATCAGTATTTCTATATGAAGGCTACAAAGTGGAACTTACTTAAATTATAAAGACTACTGTTTTAAAGTGAAATTGATAGTTAAGGCCCCTCAAGACCAAAGAATACGTATTTTATAAAAGAAGAAAATAATTATTTAGGTGGTTTCAATTCTGAAAATATAACCTTAGGTTTCCTTTTGGCTCCTAACTTCACTTCCTGGTGTTGAACAGGCTTTTTACATCCTTCTTCATTTACGGACCTTGCCTTCCTGAGAGGTGGATCAAGTGACTACCACTTAAAATGTTCACCTTTGTTTTTTGTTTCTGACAGTGCTAGTTAGCTACTTTCTGTCTCATTAGCATTCATATCAAACCCAGTGAACAATTATACCAAGGATTTTCTCCTCTCCTCAGATGCCTGTTTCTCAAATGCCACCTTTACCCACTGGACCCATGGTCCTTAGAAGCATACCTCAGTGTTGTGCCTTTTCTTTTCTTTTCTTTTCTTTTTTTTTTTTTTCCTTTGATAGGATCTGGCTCTGTTGTCACCCACGCTGGAGTTGCAGTGGCACAATCGTGGCTCACTGCAGCCTCAACCTCCTGGGCTCAAGTGATCCTACCACCTCAGCCTCTCGAATAGCTGGGACCACATTATTTTTTAATTTTCTCTAGAAAATTTAATTTTTAAAATTTTTTCTCTAGAAATTTTAATTTTTTAAATTTTCTCTAGAGAAAGGGTCTCACTATGTTGCTCAGGTTGGTCTCGAACTCCTAGGCTCAAGAGATCCTCTTACCTCAGTCTCCCAAGTTGCTGGGATTACAGGCAGCAGACACCACATCCAGCCAGTGTTGTATTATTATCTTATATATCTTAAAAAATCCTCCTTTCTTATCTGATGCTAAAATGAATTATTTCAGCAATGCTTGCTTTGACCACTTAGATCTAGCTTAGCAATAATCTATCCATGGACCTGCTTATCACTAATAATGTCTGGAGATAAATTATTACATTTTGATTATCCATAATACTTGGAATATAAAATATTCTGGCATAATTGAATTTTTAAAAATATGGAATTATAAATTCTATTTCTTGTATTTCTTATTTTTGAAAATAAATAATACTTTCTTGGCTAGTCATCTTAGCATACTAAGTACATTGTAATCTTTAGAAAAGATTCATTCATTCATTCATTCTACAAATATGTATTGAGGATCTACTTGTGTGAGACTGTGTTCTAGGAAAGAAACATTTGAGCAAAAAATTTAAGGGAATGAGTGTGATATGCAGAAATCTGGGGTTAGTCCCTTAGATTCCTTTAAACTGAGGTATATTCTGATCTCATCTATGTAAATTAGAGTCTGCTCTAAGAATAGCTAAAAATTTCAAAATGTAAAGAGTATGGGCAAACCAGAATGAACTGGTGAAAATTTTGAATTGCAGAATAATTTGATAAAAGGGGAATTTGGGGCTCTGAGTTAAATTGCTTGGCTTCGCATCCTGATTCTGTCACTTGCTACCTTTGTACCATTGGACAAAATTTTCCCACTTCTCCATGCTTCAATTTCTTCATCAGTAAAATGGGGCTATTGTTACTTCATGAAACCTGTGAGGATGAAACTAATAAATGCATGTAAAGAATTTGGAACTGTGGTCCAAGAAAAGAACTGAACAGTTAATACAGGTTGAGTGTTTCTTATTTGAAATGCTTAGGATTTGGGAATTTTTCCAGTTTTTGAATATTTGCATTATATATACTCACCATTTGAGCATCCCAAATTTGAAAATTTGAAATCTGAAATGCTCCAATGAGCAATTCCTTTGCACATCATGTCAGTGCTCAGAAAGTGTTGAATTTTGGAGTATTTGGGATTTCAGATTTTCAGATTTGGGATGCTGAACCTCTAGTTGGTTAATATTATGATTGTTCTTACTATTAAACAGTAATGCAAAGTGACACTAAAGTGTTGCCAAATGTATCATGGAAAGCCAGTAGATAACACAGTTTTTTGTCTTTTTATTTTTCAAAAACATTAATAAAACAAATTGTGCACGCATTACAAAAGATTTTTAAGATAATGAGAAGGAAAAGAAAATCCTTAACTCTGCTGTTACTAAGAAAGAGTTTCCTGATCTTTTCTCCTGTGGGTCTGTTTAAAATCTTTCAGTGGATTCCACCTTCTCCACAGGTGTAAGCTCTAGTTCTGTTGCATATCTAATCCTCACACCTAAACTCTCCCTAACACACCATGCAATTCTGCTCCTACTTTATCTTCATGCTTTTCTGCACTCACATTGCGTGGTTCAATTCAGATCAAAAAACATTCGTAGAGTTCTAAGTCTTAGACCTTAGAAAATTGTCAGTCCAGTTCCCCTCTGCCTGGCAACCCATTCTCTCCTCCCTTCTTCCTCAGTCTGTCCAGTAAGCAGCTGTTCATGTTGTAAGAGTTAGATCAAATGAGTCTTCCTCTAGGATACCTTTTCTGATTTATTTTCCTAGGTAGAATTAATAGCTTTGGTTTCAGGGAGCTTCCTTGGCCACATACCCAACAGTACCCTGAGCAGGTTTCTGTTAGAACACTAATACTACAGTGCACACACTGCTTCTGTCTTCTCCTATTGGACTACAAGCTCCCCAAAATCAGGAAATAGGTGTAATTCATCCTTGATTTCCCAGTGCCTAACCAGGACAATGCTGACATTTGGTAGATATTAAATAAAATGGATGAATGAATGAATCTGAATGTTTTCATTGTTGCAGTTATGGTATGTATATTGTCATGCACTTAACAACAAGGATACATCCTGAGAAATGAATTGTTAAACATTTCATCATTGTGTGAAGATCATGGAGTGTACTTACACAAACCAAGATGGTATAGCCTAACACACACCTACGCTATGTAGCATAGCCTGTTGCTCCTAGGCTATAAATACAACTTGTTACTATACTAAACACTAGAGGCCATTGTAACACAATTTGTGTATCTAAATATAGAAAAAGTACAGTAAAAAACTGGTATTTTTATCTTATGGGACCAGCACAGTATATTCCATCTGTTGTTGAGTGAAGCATTGTTATGTGGCACATGATCATATAAACCATATAGCTTGTTCCTTTTTCATTTAACCTTGTCTCTCAAGTAACTTCCATATGGTTACAATCAATATTTTAATAGCTATTCAGTATTCCTTGGAAGGTCAGTGCTACCCAGTAGAACTTTCTGCATTGATGGAAATAAATGTTCATGATATCTGCACTGTTCAATACAATAGCCACTAGTTATATGTGGCTATTGACCACTTGAAATGTTGCTACTGTGACTAAGGAACTGAATTTTTTATTTTATTTCATTTTCATTATTTTAAATTTAAATAGTCACCTGTGGTTGTGCCTCCAGTGATGGGCAATACAAGTTTAGACCATAATTACTAATTACTTCTTTTTGAATAACGAATGAGATACATTTCCAATTATCACATTGTTATTCAAGGGGAAGGTACTTGAAATGTTTAAAATATTTTGAAGTCTAAATGTACTAACCAACTTCTAAAATTTTTATAATCTTAATTTAAATTCAATTTAAATGTATATAATAGGAAGCAATAGGTTACAGAAAGAAACTCGTAACTTGCTTTTTGATCTCTCATGGTTTTATATCATACAATGAGCCTAATGTTAGGTTTCTTGTGAGTACAGACTATATCTCATTTTTAAATCAAACTCCAGATCCATGCATAGTAAGCATTTGATAAATGCTTATTGAAAGTTGTTTATATTGGTTTGTCATTTTGCTCTAAAAAAGTTTACTTTTGAAACTCTATGTTTTCTGTGTTTTCCTGTAGGTTATGCTTTCTAATCCAGTGCCAGAGAATGCAGTGAATTTGGAAGCAGCCAGAATACTGACTGAAAGTGAATGTCTGTACAGAGCAATTCTAAAACTTTTCAGCAGGCCATTACAAAGTAAGAAGTACCTACTTTTTGTTACTTGGCAATTATTAATTATTTATTAAACACTTACGGCATAGTGACCTAAGAAATAATTGTTGTATAAGGGAATATTTGAAATATTTTCTGTATCCATTTTCAGTAATGAAATGGTATTCAGATCTCTACTACTGTAAGTCTTTGTCACACCATCAGTGTGATCCTTTTTTAAAGATCATCAAGGATCTTAAACTCAGTATCTTTAAATGTTATGGTCATATGCATGGATGGTGCCAAAGAAACTAGTCTACCCATCATAAAGATATGACATCTAATTTTACCTCTTCAATCTGTCGCCGACATTTTCCAGACTTCACCTGTGGTACGCCAGATCTTACCAATTTGCACCACTTGTCTTCTTGATTAGCAAGATGTCAATTTTTTTTTCCAGAGAGTTCCCTCCCCAGGAATTCCTTCTGAGAGCCCATGTGGAAATAGAGCCTGAAGCTCTTCAGTCTTTCTGCTCTACTGAGCAGTATTTTCCTGATACCCTTGGTATCCGGCCAACATCTTCACTGTGACTCTTAACTCCAATGCCTCCATTGCCCCTGTACTCTGTCTCTCTCCAGGTAGTACAGCACTGCTTCTGGCTTCTTGTGCACAGAAGGGTTTCCTACAGCTGAGAGCTGAGCCCCTAGTGACATAGTGATTTCCTTTATATACTGCCCCATCTTCTGGTAGCACACAGCAATCTTGCCTAGTAGCTGGTATTATTACCTTCCCAATCAACAGGATTTGATTTCTTTTCTTTTCTTTTTTTTTGAGATGGAGTCTCATTCTGTTGCCCAGGTGGGAGTGCAGTGGTGAGATCTTGGTTCACTGCAACCTCCGCCTCCCAGGTTCAAATGATTCTTCTGCCTCAGACTCCTTACTAGCTGGGATTACAGGCACCCACCAACATGCCCAGCTAATTTTTGTATTTTTAGTAGAGATGGGGTTTCACCATGTTGTTCAGGCTGATCTTGAACTCCTGACCTTGTGATCCGCTCACCTCAGCCTCCCAAAGTGCTGTGATTACAGGCGTGAGCCACTGTACCCAGCTCAGGCCTTGATTTCATATAGTACTTTTTCTCTCAGATTTCCACTGTCTCTTTTTCTATTTCCCTTCCAGGAGCCCCAGTCCATTACCCAGGTCTGTATAATTGTGACCAAGTTCAATTGCTCCTCCTCGACAGGGTTTTTGGGTCTGATACAAATCAGATGGTGTTGATCAAGCATCTTTTCCAGTACCATAGAACTTTATTATATAACAAAATTCTTGGGGAAGCTATTTGATCCCAAGTTTAATATGAAGCAGTAATAGAAAATTCCCTTCACTAAGTATGTGTTATACACTAATTTTACCCTTTTCTGGCTTGGTGTCCTTTCATCTGGAATACCAGTAGGCTTGACTTGGAGCATCATATTTCTAAAGGCTGAAGAAAGTGTGTATGTTTAACCAATGGAAGAAAAGATAAAGGGCTGTTGTAAAAACTGTTTTCAAATATTCATAGGGATTTCCTATGGAAAAAGGAGGTTTCTTCTCTGGTGCTTCAGAAAACTAACGTAGAACAAATACTGAAGCTACAAGTCGGTCACACTTTCCCCAGGCCTGCTGGGTACCAGAATTGAAGTTCAGAATATGCAGATTTTGCCCTGCCTTGTGTCAGAACATACCTTAACTATATCAGGGACTTTTCTCCCATAATCAGTCATCTGGAATTAATGTTATTATCCTAAGTCTAAGCCTGGCATGTGATATGCAGACATGTAAATGTCGCTCATTGCCTAAACTTTTCCCCAACATCTGTTATGTTTGCCTACCCTGAACAGCAAGGTCTTTGCCCCAGTGTATTGACAGGAAGACCAAGCTAAGCTCTAAGCTCAAACCCAGTGTAAAGGTCCAATGACCTTCCCATTTCCTGACAGCCTCCTTTCCTTGTGGCCTGGCCCCTTTTCCTTTCTTAGAGTGCTCACATGCCCCAGACTGCCTACAACAGTCCTGGTATAATTATTTCCAGTGCCTCCTTTCACTTGCAGGGTACCAGTTTAGACAATCAATTGTATAGCCAAGTTGGGTGCCTAACTGATGAAATGACTCTATAGTTGCACCATTCTTAATGGTAAAGTCCATTCAGGTCCCAGTTGGCCAAATATGAGGAACAAAATTTTTTTTTTTAACAATTCATGTTGCTTAAAAGAATGGACAAGGCCAGGTTGGCAGTTAGTAAACTCTCTATTACTAAAAGTATTCTTTTGTAACTAGTGTTTATTTGATAGAGCTAAATGATCATTTTTCAGAGATGTTATCAAGGAGCTTCTCTGATAAAAAAGAAGTGCCAAGAATTGGATAAGGAAGCCTTTTAAAAACCTTCCAACTTTTTCTTCAACCAGTTCAGGAAAACTCAGAGGAGGAAGGTCTGGAGACAATGTGTAACAACTGTTTTCCTCCTAGATTCTGAGTATTGCTACTTACATTCTAATTTGTTATGAGCTTTCAGATGAGGTTTCATATGAGGAATTATCTGCCCCCTTTTTCAGTTCATCCTTGTGAATTTTGACTTCTAAGTAGTTGTATTGTCAAGTAGTATTTACCTTCTGTTTTCACTGTTGTTTTGATATTTTAAAACCTAAGTTTTGTATAATTTTTAAAACCTTTGGTTGAAGAAAAATACAAGAGTATAAAAATAGTAAAGCTGAGTAATGGTAGCTAAGCATGAGGTAATTATTTTTTCTTAGCCAAGTATATCCCTATAGTTTTTAATAAAAAAGGAGGATCATCTAATACATTTCAGATACTTATCTAAATAAACTATAATTGACATATGAGTCATCATATTAGAATAAAGGAGAATATAGAAATATTAGGGAGATTATAATACTAATTTGTGTTGTATACTTTTTGAAAACCTGATAATTCTATAAATACATAATATTCTGCCTATGATTAGGAAAATGTTGTGACAGACATTTGCTTCTTCTCCAATTCAAGCTGCCAATTTGTTCAATGGGTTTTTAAAAATCCTTATAATAATAGAGCAATTTTAAGGCAAATTGCCCCTGCAATGGAAGCAGGTGGTGTCTCATAGGATTTCAGGTTTCCATTTCGTTTTAAAGTGAGGATACTTCTTTGGTTAGGTGTAGGAATACCCCTTCCCCCAAGAAATATACTTTCTAGATATCAGGGGAAAACAAAATTTAGTCCAGTAGCGTTGCTTACTTGTTAAAGAACATGAGCTTTAGCACCATCATTCAGAACCAGTTTTGTTGTTGATTACAGCTTTGTTATAGATATCCTGTTACTTACAAATGTCATGAGAGATTAAAAAACTGAGTTTGAGAGCGTGGTGGTAAGAGTGTGGATCTATTTGCTTGGGTTACATGCCTCTATTTTCTTGTTTATATTTCATTATACCAGATAGTCCAATAACCTTTCAGCAAAGTTTCTAAGTTGCTACTTTTAATGAGAAATGTTAAGTATTTATTTTCTATCAAAGAAATATATGTTTATAGTTCTAGAGGACAAATAATAGGAATCGGTTTTTGAAATATTAAAAACCTGAATGCTGCCTGACAGAGGCAGTCATAACTTTAAACACATTTAGTTGTTTCATCTGGCATTTACCACTACATTTCTAAGCTTCTTCTATACTAATATTTCCAGGCTTTTCAGTTTCAGATATTATTTATAGGCTTCATCTTACAAAATACAAAGATTTTGCTTGTAATATTACCATTCCTACCCATATTCCCTCTCCCTCATCCTCCTAAAATGATTTGGTTACCTTAATATGACTTTATAAATACTTGTCATAGATAAACCATAAATGATTATCTCTCTTTTCCTGTACAAAAGGTCTGATTTTACATTTCTTTTTTATGTGTAAACTATCTTTTCTTCCTTTAAACGTTCTGACAAAGCTGTAAAACAGCTCCCAGGTATTCAATCAGCATTGAGTCTGTTTTGTTTTGTTTTTGGAGCCCTCTTTCTTGTGGCACTCCCCACTTCCTCTTGAATTCTGGATTGCCAGTTCTCTTGCAGGTGTGCTGGGATGGCCCTTTTGTCTTGAGTTCTGGATTGCCAGTTCTCTTGCAGGTGTGCTAGGATGATGGCCTTTTTGTCTTGAGTTCTGGATTGCCAGGTCTCTTGCAGGTGTGCTGGGATGACGGCATTTTTGTCTTGAGTTCTGGGTTGCCAGGTGTCTTGCGGGTGTGCTGGGATGACGGCCTTTTTGTCTTGAGTTCCGGATTGCCTGTTCTCTTGCAGGTGTGCTGGGATGATGGCCTTTTTGTCTTGAGTTCTGGATTGCCGGTTCTCTTGCAGGTGTGCTGGGATGATGGCCTTTTTGTCTTGAGTTCTGGATCGCCTGTTCTCTTGCGGGTGTGTGGGGATGATGGCCTTTTTGTTGTGCATTCTGGATTACCTGTTGTCTTGCGGGTGTGCTGGGTTGACGACATTTTTGTCTTGAGTTCTGGATTGCCGGGTCTCTTGCAGGTGTGCTGGGATGGCCTTTTTGTCTTGAGTTCTGGGTTGCCGGTTCTCTTACAGGTGTGCTGGGGTGACGGCCTTTTTGTCTTGAGTTCTGGGTTGCCGGTTCTCTTACAGGTGTGCTGGGGTGACGGCCTTTTTGTCTTGAGTTCTGGGTTGCTGGTTCTCTTACAGGTGTGCTGGGATGACGGCCTTTTTGTCTTGAGTTCTGGGTTGCCGGTTCTCTTACAGGTGTGCTGGGATGACGGCCTTTTTGTCTTGAGTTCTGGGTTGCCGGTTCTCTTACAGGTGTGCTGGGATGACGGCCTTTTTGTCTTGAGTTCTGGGTTGCCGGTTCTCTTACAGGTGTGCTGGGATGACGGCCTTTTTGTCTTGAGTTCTGGGTTGCCGGTTCTCTTACAGGTGTGCTGGGATGACGGCCTTTTTGTCTTGAGTTCTTGATTGCTAGGTCTTTTGCAGGTGTGCTGGGGTGGCCTTTTTGGTGCCTTCTGGGGTGGAGCTCCTGCTCGCTTGCTGATCCCTCGTTTTCCTCGTGGTTGGTTCTGTTCCTTTGTTTTGTTGGAGCACATCTTCTAGGAGCTTCCTAGTACATGGGAGTTAAAGCTTTTATAACTCTGCATGCCTAAAAATGTATTTATGCCACTCTGATATGCTCATAGTTTGGTTAAGTTTTAGTTTGGAAATATTTTTCTTTCCAAATTGTAAATATTTTACTACCTTTTAGTTTCTAGTGTGCTCTTGGGAAGTCTAATTTCATTCTGATGTCCAATCTTTCATATGTGATTTTTTTTTTTTCTTTTTGCTGGATGGCTTCTTTTTTTTTTTTTTTTGAGACAGAGTTTCGCTCTTGTTACCCAGGCTGGAGTGCAATGGCGCTATCTCGGCTCACCGCAACCTCCGCCTCCTGGGTTCAGGCAATTCTCCTGCCTCAGCCTCCTGAGTAGCTGGGATTATAGGCACGTGCCACCATGCCCAGCTAATTTTTTGTATTTTTAGTAGAGACGAGGTTTCACTATGTTGACCAGGATGGTCTCGATCTCTTGACCTCGTGATCCACCCGCTTCGGCCTCCGAAAGTGCTGAGATTACAGGCTTGAGCCACTGCAACCGGCCTGGATGGCTTCTTTTAAACCTTCTTTTTATTCCAAGTGATTTGAAATTTTTGATAACATTTTTTGGTGTATCCTCCTCCTCCCTGCCTCCACATTACATAGGACATTTGATAAGCTATCAAATCCTCAATCTCTTAATTATTCAGTTCTGGGAAACGTTCTTATGTGATTTATTTTATAACTGATTCTCCCTTCATTTTCCCTGTTGTCTCTTATATACATGCTGTTATTTGAATGTTGGGTCTACTGATCTGATCCTCTAATTTTTTTAAACTAAATTTCTCCTGTTATCCATCTCTTTGTTTGTTGTATATTCTGGAAAATTTTAAGAAAATTGTTTCTGTTTCCTATTTTTCTCTTTTTGTGGTTACGATTGTTCTCTTTTATGGTATTGACCTTGCTCAAATGTCTAGTGATCTTTTACTATCCATTCATATAATGCATATATGATACATATGATGAATGGACTATTAAAAAGACTGGAAGTTCTGAATACAGTCTGGACTTGTTGACAGTTTTATTTCATAGTAGAATTATTTAGTGTGAACCTGACCATTTCATTAGACTTAACTATTTCTCCTACTATTTCTCCGGAGATAGATCTGTCAGGCTTGTGGAGGGAGAAGAGAGAGAGAGAGAGAGAGAGAGAGAGAGCCTTGCTAATACTCTGACAGCTAGACAAGGGGAGAGAATCAGGAATCTTGTTTGTTTGATATGACTTATTCCATTTTCAGTTTCTTACCATACTCCTGTCCTGCTTTATTTCTACTGTCCTCCAGTACTCAGTCTCTCCGGCCCAGTTTTTCCAGAGGTTAAATATCCTCCCTCTTACCTGAGCAGCAGTCATGATCTGGCCACACAGGATAAGGGTATAAGACTTTGGTGTCTGTACTCTGCCTCTCACCCTGCCTTCCAGAGGTATCTGGCATCTTCAATTCCTGAACTGTTTCTCAGGTTCTGAAGTGCAAATCCGTTTGCTTTTTAGTGGTCTCCTCTCATAGTGCAGTTTGTTTGTTTGTTTGTTTTTCAGATTTCTGTGGCCTGCTAAGACAGTTACCACTTGATATCTGCTTTCCATCTTGAAACCTTTTTCTGTCTTCTTTCTTTTGCTCTCCGTGAGATTTTATACCTTATTTTTATTCCTTTATTACCATTTTATTAAGGCTTTGCAAATAGTGCACATAAAGCCATATATTCAATCTCCAAGTAAACCAGAATCCTTTCACATTTTTTCTTTATAGTGAAAGATGACAGCCAGAAGTTACCTAAAGATCCAAATAAACGTATGAGGTAAGCTTTTCTTTATATCAATTTATTTACCAAAAGGAGTATTTTTTTTACAAATTAAAATAAATTTATTTTAGAAGGGTTTTTAACAAGGTTTGAAAAGATAACAGGCATTCATCAATTCCTCCATTCTGACATACTACAATTAATCAATGTTTTGCTGACTTGTAACAAATGTTAAGTTTATTTTTGTATTCCCTAAGGATTGGATTTTTTGTGTGTGGTAAGTTTTATTTATTGTATTTTAGGTTTTGGGGTACATGTGAAGAACATGCAAGATTGTTGCATAGGTACACACACGGCACTGTGATTTGCTGCCTTCCTCCCCATCACCTATATCTGGCATTTCTCCCCATGCTATCTCTCCCCAACTTCCTACCCCTCGCTGTCCCTTGCCTATTACCCCCCGACAGACACCAGTGTGTAGTGCTCCCCTCCCTGTGTCCATGTGTTCTCATTGTTCAACACCCACTTATGAGTGAGAACATGTGGTGTTTGATTTTCTGTTCTTGTGTCAGTTTGCTGAGAATGATGGTTTCCAGGTTCATCCATGTCCCTACAAAGGACACAAACTCATCGTTTTTGATGGCTGCATAATATTCCATGGTGCATATGTGCCACATTTTCCCAGTCCAATCTATCATCGATGGGCATTTTGGTTGATTCCAGGTCTTTGCTATTGTAAACAGTGCTGCAGTGAACATTCGTGTGCATGTGTCCTTATAGTAGAACGATTTATAATCCTTTGGATATATACCCAGTAATGGGATTGCTGGGTCAAATGAAATTTCTATTTCTAGGTCCTTGAGGAATCACCACACTGTCTTCCGCAATGGCTGAACTAATTTACACTCCCACCAACAGTGTAAAATTGTTCCTATTTCTCCACATCCTCTCCAGCATCTGTTGTCTCCAGATTTTTTAATGCTCGCCATTCTAACTGGAGATGGTACCTCAATGTACTTTTGATTTGCAGTTCTCTAATGACCAGTGATAATGAGCGTTTTTTTATATGTTTCTTGGCCTCATGTATGTCTTCTTTTGTAAAGTGTCTGTTCATATCCTCACCCACTTTTGAACAGCTTCTTTGTTTTGTTCTTGTAAATCTGTTTGAGTTCTTTGTAAATTCTGGATATCAGCCCTTTGTCAGATGGGTATACTGCAAAAATTTTTTCCCATTCTGTTGGTTGCCGATTCACTCTAATGACTGTTTCTTTTGCCGTGCAGAAGCTGTGGAGTTTGATTAGGTCCCAATGGTCTATTTCTGCTTTTGTTGCCAATGCTTTTGGTGTTTTAGTCATGAAGTCCTTGCCTACTCCTACATCCTGAATGGTTTTGCCTAGAATTTCTTCTAGGGTTTTTATAGTGTTAGATCTTATGTTTAAGTCTTTAATCCATCTGGAGTTAATTTTAGTGTAAGGTGTCAGGAAGGGATCCAGTTTCTGCTTTCTGCACATGGCTAGTCAGTTTTCCCAACACCATTTATTAAACAAGGAATCCTTTCCCCATTGCTTGTTTTTGTCAGGTTTGTCAAAGGTAGCATGGTTGTAGATGTGTTGTGTTGCCTCCGAGGCCTCTGTTCTGTTCCATTGGTCTGTATCTCTGTTTTGGTACCAGTACCATACTGTTTTGATTACTGTAGCCTTGTAGTACAGTTTGAAGTCTGGTAGTGTGATGCCTCCCACTTTGTTCTTTTTGCTTAGAATTGACTTGGCTATGCGGGCTCTCTTTGGGTTCCATATGAAGTTTTTTTCCAGTTCTGTGAAGAAGGTCATTGGTAACTTGATGGAGATAGTGTTGAATCTGTAAATTACTTTGGGCAGTATGGCCATTTTCATGATATTGATTCTTCCTAACCATGAACATGGAATGTTTCTCCATCTGTTTGTGTCCTCTCTTATTTCATTGAGCAGTGGTTTGTAGGACTATTTATTTAAACTCTTTGTTTTTTGTCATAATTAAATCTTTGTTTTTAACTTAGAAAAGGAAGTAGGTATCTTTCCTCTTATAATATCTTTTTAATATTATTTTCAGAAAGAATGTGGAAATTTTTGAATTCTTTCTAGACTGTTAAATTAAAATTAAATGTAACTGTGATCTCACCTTTTTTATTTTTGAAAAGAGAAGAATGTATTATCAACCAAATGAGCACAAATCATTATAGATCACAAAAATTCAAGCAATTTAGGAAAAGATAAGGTTCTAGGAAAATATTGTAAGAGTTAGGGCTGAAGCCATTGTACCTTTCAGGAGAGAGCCTGTGAATGCGGCATCAGTTCACCTTGAACACCTGAAAAAGTATAGGCCTAGAAACATACATATGATTCTGTGGCATTTAATTTCTTGAGCATTTCCATCAGCTTTATTTTGATAGTCAATCAGATATAGGAAACAGCCAATTAACTAGTGTTGAAACCGTGTTTACTTTAGCTCATATTTCCTTTACTAGCTCTGTATAAAAGTTGAATAAAAATAGGTAATTTAAGTGGTTTCTCTTTGTGAAAACTGTTGAAAAATTGCAGAAATGTAAGCATAATCTAGTTAATGGTACACTAGGTTGGTATTCAGTAGAGGGCATTGCTACCCCTTAAACTTGTCAATGTGGTTGGCCCTCCTGGCACAAAATAGGCCTGTGATGAATACTCATTCAATGCATAGAGGCGGTTTTATTACCTAAAACATGAATGTCCCTAGATGTCAAAAGTTATTACTCTTTATGGCATAGTTATTTGCAGTCATAAAGATAAAGTGCCAGTGTTTACTAAGAAGGCAGTAAGAACAGAGCAGAAGACTCTGTGGTCTCAGCTTCAGCAGGTCCTCTGAGCCAAACCAAGGATAAATAGTGCTAGAACCAGGTCTGATTTGTGATACCCGCCTTGTGCCAGCCTGAACTTTCTAGAGAAGCCCTTAGGTAGGACTTATTTGATGCAATGCAGTCTAGATTTCAATGATACTCCAGACTCATGCTGCGTATCAGGCTGCATTTTGTTGTGTGTCTGTGAATTCTAATGTTTGCCCCGGTACATTTGCACTGAAACAGAGCTCAGTTATGTCTAGTTCCTAGTTTTTAAATAATGCATTCACAATGGGATCTTGCAGAAAGTATTCAAAGAAAGATGCTGCTGTTAGTATTGTGTGTCTAGGGCCATATGCTTAGAACTTTGTATTACTTTATGAGCTGGAAGAACTGGCCTGGCTGTAGAAATTTATTCCAAAGACATATCTAGGAAGCTGGTCCCCCTGTTTCTAAAAGACATAGCAAAACTCGTGCAAGGTCTATTTAACTGGGTACAATATAGTGGGGGAATTTTGCTGATGTTTAGGAATTGAAGGTGACTTGAACTTGCACTAGTCATCTTGGATATTTGCAGTGGTCTATAGGATACCACTTACAGGTTATGGGGCAGGTTTTCAGCCCTTGGGAGAACAGCTACTTATTCATATAATTAGAATGAATTCACCGAGCATATGCTGTATGCCAGGCATTGCGTCCCAGTGTGAGGATACACACTTGATTAATATGTGATCTCTAACCTCACAAGGTTTATACTCTAGCATTGGAAGCCCTCTTCTTTTTTCCCCATTCCATAAGAACGAATTATTTATTTTGTATTAACTGTTGTGTAGTATCAGAAGATGTTCCTCTTCTGAAAGGGAGGCAGTGCAAGATGTAGGCCTGTCCAGCCTAATGGACAATGTAGAGAGCATTTGCCTCCATAGTATGTAGTTGGAAGACCACAGGGAAGGTATCAAGATCGTGACTAAGGGACGAATTCTGAGGGCAGATTGAATCATATCTGAAATGAGTCATGTTTAGCAGAAAACTTTTCCCATGTGGCTTTTATTTTTTTCTAAGCTTCCTTCAGAGGCCTTCAATTTTCACTATGTCATTCATCTCTGGAGTTGCTTCTTTTAAATGGAACTGCCTCTTTTTTAATTGCATTTTAGGTTTTGGGGTACATGTGCAGAACATGCAAGATAGTTGCATAGGTACACATGTGGCAGTGTGATTTGCTGCCTTCCTCCCCTTCACCCACATCTGGCATTTCTCCCCATGCTATCCCTCCCCAGCTCCCCCCCCGCCACTGTCCCTCCCCTATTCCCCCCAATAGACCCCAGTGTGTAGTGCTCCCCTCCCTGTGTCCATGTGTTCTCATTGTTCATCACCCGCCTATGAGTGAGAACGTGTGGTATTTCATTTTCTGTTCTTGTGTCAGTTTGCTGAGAATGATGTTCTCCAGATTCATCCATGTCCCTACAAAGGACACGAACTCATCATTTTTGATGGCTGCATAATACTCCATGGTGTATATGTGCCACATTTTCCCAGTCCAGTCTATCATCGATGGGCATTTGGGTTGGTTCCAGGTCTTTGCTATTGTAAATAGTGCTGCAGTGAACATTCGTGTGCATGTGTCCTTATAGTAGAACGATTTACAGTCCTTTGGATATATACCCAGTAATGGGATTGCTGGGTCAAATGGAATTTCTATTTCTAGGTCCTTGAGGAATCGCCACACTGTCTTCCACAATGGTTGAACTAATTTACACTCCCACCCACAGTGTAAAAGTGTTCCTCTTTCTCCACATCCTCTCCAGCATCTGTTGTCTCCAGATTTTTTAATGATCGCCATTCGAACTGGTGTGAGATGGTATCTCAATGTAGTTTTGATTTACATTTCTCTAATGACCAGTGATAATGAGCATTTTTTCATATGTTTGTTGGCCTCATGTATGTCTTCTTTTGTAAAGTGTCTGTTCATATCCCATTTTTGAATGGGCTTGTTTGTTTTTTTCCTGTAAATCTGTTTGAGTTCTTTGTAAATTCTGGATATCAGCCCTTTGTCAGATGGGTAAACTGCAAAATTTTTTCCCATGCTGTTGGTTGCCGATTCACTCTAATGACTGTTTCTTTTGCCGTGCAGAAGCTGTGGAGTTTGATTAGGTCCCATTTGTCTATTTTGGCTTTTGTTGCCAATGTTTTTGGTGTTTTGTTCATGAAG